ACTAAGCTCTGTAAGAATTTTTATGTGATTCAATGACACTTAGCTTCTTCCCCATAATCAGGTAGCCATGAAGAAGGTTAAAGAACTATAATATGCTAATGATTTAATTTTAAGCTATCCCTCACCAAACTGTTTACATGTATTTGAGCCTTAGTAATATTAAATATTAATTATCTGCCAAGATGAAACTATGTATCAAATGTTTAATTTGATGACTGGTAATATAAAACAGTACATGATCAAATAATTTTGAAAAAGACTTGAGCACAGCACAGCACTCAGGAGGCAGGCAGATCTTGGTGAGATGGAGGCCAGTATAGTTTATATAGAGTTTCAAGTTAGCTGAGGCTAAAGGGGAGATCCTGTCTCCAAAAAACAAAACAAAACAAAACAAAACAGAAGAGTTGAGCAATATGCTAGATAGAATTGCAAAGTACAACTCCAAAATTCATATTTCTAGAGAGCTGATGAACTAATGGCTTTCTCAGTCAGTTTTGCATTTAGGCATCTTTAAATTACAGTATCATAAAAGTTACAGTTTAGGACTAAAAACTGAAAGAATAATAATTTTATTATTTATTGAAATAAATTTGTTGAGTTGGGTGTGGTAGTTCATGCCTTTAATTCCAGCACTCCGGAGGCAAAGGCAGGCAGATGGCTGTGAGACTGAGGCCAGCCTGAGATGTTCTACATAGCGAGTTCCAGGCCAGCTGGGGCTACATGGTAAGACTCTGTCTAAGAACAAATAGAACCAGCATCATCAACAACAATAACAACAAAAGCTTTTTGTTTTTATTCTTTCCACACTGCTTAATATTAAAAAGTGTTTGCTGATAAAAATAAATAAATAAAGCTTCCAGTTGCTATAAAATTTCATGGCAGATGATAAGTTAACCCTAACTTTGTTTTATACTAAATGGCAACATCCTTAGGGGTTCCATTTGCTTCTTTTACTCTTCCCATTTAAACATATGCAAATATTTTAGTAGCACAAAGGGTATTTGTCTGGAGTCAGGCATATATCAATCTATCACTAAATAACTAGCAACTTATGCTTGTATCTCTGAAATTCATAAGACATAAGATATAAGAGATTATACCAACAGTCTATAACTGTGAATACTGTAGTACAGTGCTTCACACATATTGAACACTTAAGAAACCTAAATTTCTATGAGCACTTCTATGAATTAAGCATCTTGCTAACTTCATTAGGTACAGGCAATTATAATCCCAGTTTAAGCATTCTGGGCACTGGAGTGATGGTTCAGCAGTTAAGAGCACTAGTTGTTCTCTCAGAGGGCCAGGGACCCACACGGTCAATAACTCCAGTTCCAAGGGAATCTGATACCCTCTTCTGGCCTCCAAAGGCTGTGCACATACAGGTGCACTTTCACAGAAATAAATACACAGAAATAAATAAATAAATAAATAAATAAATAAATAGATAAATAAATAAATTCCCAGCTCTAAAGCTTAATAACCCCAACTAAACTGGCACAGCAATCTATCTCTATAGGTGCAGTAGTGGCAATTTTATCTAGGGGATAATCAACAGCTATCTAATTGGACTTAAAGCCCTCTCAGTGGTAGGGACCTCATGGGTGGCACTGTAAATATAGCCAAATACACATGGCTGGAAAGGTCATAGATTCTAGAGAAAACTCTATCTCTATCATATCGCTAGACAAATGAAATTTCTTACTGTATGCTAATTATGGATCCTTATATGTACCGTATACCATTCATCAAAGGAGCTTCTTTTTGCAACAGATAGAGGCTACTGCAGAGTTCCACAACTGGTCACACACAGAGAATATATTTCTGAGAGATTCCCAGCCCTAGGTGACACATCTGCAGTGGAACCTCTACACCTAAGGATTATGGAACATAGCAGAACAGGGATAGTGAGAATTCTAATACATCCCTCAACTCTCAACAGTGAAGTTTCCTCATACAACAGAGTGTGATGCACACAAAAGGACCACAACTGACTAACTTGTAGAGAATAAGAGACTGTAGAGTGTGTGTCCCTGAATAGGACTCCTATATTAAGCATCATCTACCCATGAGTCAGGGACCATTGCAGAAGGGGAGGGGCAGAAAGATTGTAAGAGCCAGGGTTGGTGCATGATCAGAAGGTAACAGAGGCTTTCAGACCACTGGGACCTTGCTCATATGAACGTGCAACAATGGTGACAGCATGCACAAGAACCATTCTCACTCAATCAGACAAAAACTCTAGCATAGAACAATGGAAATGGGCAGCAGGCTCAACCTTAATTGAAAACTACTGGCAACTGATTACTGCTGAGTGAGGGAGAATAGATCTTCTATAAGGGAGTGACTCTAGGTAGGCTGACTAGACTCCAGTGGATGAACTTGCACCAAGGGACATCTGGGTACAAATGCTGAACCAGATAGGACTTAACATATATGATAGAATGCATGAAATCTGGTGAGGAGAAGGGGAGTGTGGATGGGGGAGGGGGTCTAAATTTAATTAAGATCTATTACATGAAATGCACAAAACAATATAAATATTTAAAAATACAATAGTTAACTGAAAGGAAATAATATCCCCACTTATAAGTTCATTAAATCCAAACAGCATTATTCTACCACATCTAGAAATATACCAAGTGAAATATTAAATACTAGAAACAATTAAAAAATATCTACTTATAAAGAGATTTTTAAAAAAAGAAGTGTTCAGCCAGGTGTGGTGGTGCACACCTGTAATCCCAGCACTTGGGAGGCAGAGGCAGGCGAATCTCTGTGAGTTCAAGCCCAGCCTGGTCTACATAGTGAGTTCCAGGACAGCTGGGGCTACAGGGAGACCCTGTCTCAAAAAAACCAAAAAAAGGGGGGAAAAAAAGTGTTCAATTACTTGGAGGTATAGGATTGTAAATATAGTTGAAGATGAGTATCATCCAGCATTTTTTAGGTCCATATGGATGAGTTCTCTGGAGAAGTTGGCACACATGAATGTAACTATTCATCTTGAATTTTGTAATAGAGGAGTAGGTTATAACTACCTGGATACAATTTTTTCGCCTCCAGTCAAAATGGAATCTTTGATGTGATGCCCCCCCCTTTTTTTTCTTTCTTTCACCTAATGAAATTGCCTGTTTTTCTTTTAAAAAATTAAATATGTAAATAAATAAATAAACCTAGCTTAGGTATCCTAACAAAAACATTAAAAATCTTGCTTTAGAGAGTGCTAAATTATTATTATTATCAGTATTATTATTATTTTATTGCTTTTTTGAAACAGGGTCTCTCCATAGTCTCAGCTGGCCTGGAATTGACCATATAGACCAGGTTGGCCTTCCATTGCAAAGATCTGCTTGCCTCTGCCTCCCTGAGTTCTGGGATTAAAGGCAGTACTACCACACCTGGCATGAATTTTTTTTAAAAATTGTAATTTAAGTATTCTTTGCCAAATGTCTAGAATACATAAAAATGAAATTATTAAAAATTCAGTTAAGATGCTGGGCCTGGTGGTATACATCTTTAATCCCAGCACTGGGGAGGCAGAGGCAGACAGATCTCTGTGAAACTGAAGCCAGCCCAGTCTACAGAGAAAGTTCCAAGGCAGCTAGGGCTACAGGGAGACCATCTTCAAAACAACAACAAAAATAAAATAAATAAAATAATAAAATAAAAGGTTAAGAATTTGATGATTCAGGAGCAGGATTTTTCTTTTTTCTTCATCCATTTTTTGGG